TCAAAGTATTCATAAAAACGTCAAACATCACACACAAATCATTTGGTTGTACATCAAATAAATGGTCTCAGATGTCTATGTTGGTGCTTCTCAGTATTAATAAAGGCTAGTTCACATTGTGTCCCCAACAAACACTAACTTTCAACGGTTGCTGATGATTGTTGTGACAGTGTGAACTAGCATCAAGATGCAAATTGGTTCAGATTGTATGCTGATACTCAAAACTCTGGCTACCTCCAAATGTGTTGATCTGAACACTGAAGAGCTTCCCAACGCATTACAGCGAGTTAAACTCAAGTCCATGCCATCAGCAGCAGCCTGAGATGATGATTCTCCATGCAGACCTGCATGAACACAAGCTCTCGAATGCATCAAAGCAGCTGAGATCAGTGTTTCCCCTCCTCTCTTTGATCCTCTCAGTCATCAGTGGTGAGTTTCACTTCCTCCCATAATTCAATGGAGCAAGTCAAGGATGCTCATTATCACAAATCGCTTTCCTCTCGTCTCAGAGGACGGGTGGCATGCACAATTTATCAAAACGATAGCATCTCAGGAGGGGAACAAAATGCCCCTCTTTGTTCTAATGGTGGCCTGTGATTTTAAACCGGTTTGGCCCCTTCTGCCCACGTTTTCCACCACATTTAGCTTGATTGTACCACTTCAATACTTAGCATAATCTGATTAGCTTTTGTTATGGGATTCATATGAAGAAAGATGGAGATAAATGATTTGTTTGTCTGAAAACAGGATTGTAATTGAGTAAAGAAACTAAAAATACGCTTGCGCTCAGCTGAATTATCGCAGCGTGATAAGACAGTGCTCAGCGTGATTACGTGAGGTCATCTGATAGACCCTGCTGCTAATTGAATATAGAGTACAGTTAGTGGATTAGAGGTGGGGGGGGGGTTTTTACAACCCTATTTGTCCAAATAAACATGGGAGGATAGAATCTGTAAAAATCTCATATGCATAACTTATATAGTTCCCCCCAAAATTAAAGTTGAACACAAAAGAAGATATTTTGAAGAATGTTGGTAACCAAACAGCCTGCTGGCAGCCACTGACGTATGGGGGGAAAATGCTATGGAAGTCAATGGCTACTAGGCAACTGTTTGGTTACCAACATTCTCCAAAATATCTTCTTTTGTGTTCAACAGAAGAAAGAAAAGCATGTTTGGAACAACATGAAGGTGAGTAAATTATTTTTACTGAATTTTCATTTTTGGGTGAACTATCCCTTTAATTATCCAGTAAAACCTAAGATTTGAAAAAAAAAAATTCTGAAATACTGTTTTACACTTTGAAGATTTTTTTTTATTTTTTATTACGTATATATTAACAGAGACCAGCAAATGCGTCCTAATGGCTGAAACAAACTCTACATTCTTTGATTTTGAGTCGATTTTGCACTTGTGTATATTTCAGTTATAATGTCCACTTTACTTGCATGTGAAAATAGTCTCTTATGCGCACCAAGGCGGCATCTATTTGACCAAAAACACAGTAAAAACAGTAATATTGTGAAAAATTATTAAAATTTAAAATAGCTATTTTAACTGTGAATATATTTTAAAATGTAATTTATATATGTGATGGCAAGGCAGAATTTTCAGCATCATTACTTCAGTCTTCAGTGTCACATAATCCTTCAGAAATCATTCTAATATGGTTCTCAAGAAACATGTCTTATTATTACTATAAAATAAATAAATAAACATAATGAAATAATATCAAATAAAATTGTAAAAAGTACCAATCAATTAATTATTCATTAGCCTAAAAGAACTGGCTCTTAAAGGTACAGTTCACCCAAAATTAAAGTTGTCATCGTTTACTCATCCTCAGGTTGTTCCAAATCTACAAAAAATTATTTCTTCTGCTGAACACTAAAGAATATATTCTGAAGAATATTGGTAACTAAACAGTTGCTGTTTTTTGTTCCATACTATGGAAGTCAATGGGGACCAGGAACTGGTTACCAGCATTCTTCAAAATACCTTCTTTTATGTTCCACAGATTGAAGAAAGAAACTCATACAGGTTTCAAACAATATGAGGGTGAGTAAATGATGCCAGAACTTCCATCAGGCAGACTATCCTTTAAAAGGGTCATGTACTGACAAACCAAAATTCCCTTGATCTTTTGACATATAAGAGGTCATTGTACTATAAAAACATCCTGTAAGTTTCAGAACTCAAAACTTTCTCATTAGTCTAAAAACAGATTATATTGAAGGCGGTCTGCCAAAACGACAGATTGCGGAATGTTCTACTCTATGATGTAATAGTGTGGCTAAATACCGCCTTCCGCAGAAGATCATCAACACCTGCTTCTACATCGCTGCCTGTTTAGCTCCGCCCACCGATTTGCGCATAGTGTTTACGAGAGAGGCAAACGCAGGTCTATGCAGAAATCAAACTATAAAGTTAGCTCTGAAGACAACAAGAAGCTGTGCAGTGCCAAGTTGTGGAAACACAGTATTTGTGCTGCCTTCCTTCTGATAATGTTAGGAAAGTTGAGCTTTATTGTCATTCCGCTACATGTGGGGACATACAGTGGAACGAATTGTTGTGCCTCACAGGACCACGGTGCTACATAAAGAGTGGAAAGAGTGGATGAACTTTATTTTTAATAAAGTTCCAGACCGCGTCAGTAAGAACTCGTTCCTTTGTTCACTTCATTTTACCGCAGATTTGTTTACAAACAAGGCACAACTCAAAGCAGGATTTTCAAAAAGATTGAAACTAAAAGACGATGCTGTGCCGACTACATTGGATCTGACGGTAATGTCGCAACACAAGTGTTACGTGGTCACTATTGCTTTGTCTCTACAATCTGCCACACCTATTCAAACAGAGCGTTCTGATTGGGGGGGGTTTAAAACAGGTCAGAAAATAGCCTATTACTTCAAAATTATGATGTTTTTGATGTAAAAAATCTTGATAACATTATAAGTGGACCTCAGTGAACAGTTCAAAATAAAAAACAGAGGCAGTTCATGACCCCTTTAAGAATAATTTGTTTCAGTAATCAAGCTACATTGGTCGTGCTGAATGCATAGACTGTATAAAAACATGGTGTCCGTGACGTCACCCGTAGGTTTCTGAAGAGCGTTTTTGAAGCTCAAAGTGGGCAGAGCCGGCCGTCGCCATCTTGGCAGCGCGTCACCGCGCGTCAGTCCCGGATAATCGAAAATGGGCAAAGAGGCGGGAGCTGGTTGCTGAAACCACACCCACCTAGCTCGACGGTGATGACAGCAGCGGCAATCCCCCTGACCCTCAAGTGGCCACG